GCCATATTTTCCTTTGTTCTGGTTGCGAATCGTTTTGGTTTAAGGCCACCTAGTTGAAATGTCCTCTATGAAGGCACCAGTGGCCAATATTGGATTTGGACACTAGTGGCCAAGATTAGATTTTGAACACTAGAGGCCAAGATTGGATTTTTGGAGCCTAGGAGCCAATATTGGCTTAAGGACACCAGTCGCCTATTTTAGATTTTGGACACTAATGGCCGATCATCCATTTTGGACACTAGTGGCCAATTTTGGATTTTGGACGCTAGTGGCCGATTCTGGATTTTAGATTTTATTTTCAGGCAATGAGACGAATGGTTCGCAAACTTGGATAATTCGATAAACCAAGCTACACGCCCAGAAGTGTATCATACACAGTCAGAATCGGTATAGATCAAAATTTCACACAATCCCCTTCCAAATATTTAAGCTACAAGTAAGACTTCCAAAAACACCGATGGATTAAATTGCAAGATGCTTTCTATTTGTCAGAACAAGAAATTCCGTCCTTTCAGCTACGCCGGATAGAAGTCCAATTTCTAAGGTAAAGGAAAAGCAGACCCTATTTCTCAGTCCAAAATTTCTTCCCTCTCTTGTGGAGGTTTGTTATCAGAATGAGATTTACAAGATGACTTCTACTTGTCAAGACAAGGTAGTCTGTCATTTTAGCTACGGATATAAGTCCAACATCTACGTTAATATAAAAGCATCGCAGTTTCAGTCTTAGTCCACCATTGCCTCTTTTTCATTTGAAGGAGGTTTGTTCTCAGAATACGGTTTACTTTCTACATCACCATTAAGATCTTGAAGATGTTGGTCAATCTCTTGTCGAAGAGTTAAGAGACTTGTACGGTCGAGTTCTTGTACCAAAGTAAGAACTGCAGATAAAATATTCTGACTCTGCGAGAAAAAGAGAATTTAGTTTTAACAAGACGTTTGATTTGAGAAGCTTACTGTGCGTTTACTGAAACCAGTGCCACCTATACAACAAAAACAGTCAGATGGTATGATAGAAAGCGCAGATTTAAATCTTTGTTCAAATCCTTCCTATTTAATGTAGGTTACAGAAGAAAGAATTTTTTTTCAGTGTTAGAGGCCAAGATTTCAGTAAAAGAACTGTAAATGAGGCTGGGTGCTTTTTGGATCTCATAAAAGTCCATGATCAATGCAAGGACGATTTTAATGTTTATGTGATTAAAAAGTGCAAGAGGTTCCTGGGAAACAAAATAATGTGAGAACTACCAGTTCATTCGAGGTATTACCTGTTTTGTTTTGTCTTTTTTTTTTCTCTATGAAAACCCTTGTTCAGAGATTTTCCTTGACATACCCTAGCGTGCAAAATGCTATTGAAAAATCCCCTGACTTTCCAGCATCTTTCGTGCTCTCTTAACTTCCCGTGCGCTTCATCTCTCGATGAACTCACGCATGAACAAATGGTTACGTTTCCCCAAAACCTTACTCATCATGACAACAGGCAAATACTTTTGTGCTTCAGTGTAGCAAATGGCGCAAATAAATAACGATTCTTAAAAATATTGAATCATTCACAGAACCAAAACTTACTCTAGGGGTGGGAGAAACTGTTACAGGCTCTTTTCGATGGGAATCTGTTGCCGCCATGGTTGTCACACCATTGGTTTGATCATCCAACATCAGTGGCTTCAGTCCTAACTGGGCTCGAAGTTTACTGACAAAAACCAAATACAATTCAGTGGAAAAAGGATAGGATTCTTACTCAAACCTCCCAGATACTAGTTGGGTCCAAATGCAAAATGATTCAGGAGTGGTATTGTGAGGAGAATTTGGATTCTAGTTACTCTTAAAGGGTTACTCAGCAGTCCAGAGGCCCACCCACTTGACAAAATCACCCCTCTTAACTGCATTTCATGCAAAACCATCCTGGAATTTTAAAAAAGGATTTCTACAAAGTCAAGAGTCCAGCTATTTTATGCCTTTTTATGAAATTGAGAAGACTGCATCCCACCTGTGTACAAGGACCATTGCCTGATCAAATGAGTTTACCATTCTACTTAAAAGCAATTGCCAAAAAGGCAAACCTTAAGCACTTAGGTCTGTATAGTTCTACATACTTGGTTTCATTTACTAAATTGCTTTGTGCTGATTCTGGATCACCCTTTTCTGCAGATGAAAACAAAATAGACATGTCAAAAATGAACATTAAGAAAAGCAGCACTATTTCCAAATTTTGACCCCCTTTACCAGATTGTCAATGCAATGCTTGTCCTTGATTGGATTTCCCACAATATAATTTTGTTTAACATGGTGGTGTGGCAAGTTATGAAAATACCAATTTATTCTGAATACAATGCCTGCAATATAGCTTACACTGAGTGCTTTGCAATCTTATTCACATTTCTCAGTATAATCCTAGCTTTCCTCTCTCTAGAGCTTTCCAGGAAAAATTCCTATCAATGCAGATTCTAGAGAGTGAAAGATTGATTAAAATATCATCATTGAAATTGGACATTTAGCTGAAGTTGTTTATGAAACCCACCTGTTGACACTTGTTGATTAGCCTCCTCACTCAAAAGAGCATCCTGCAGAAAAACAGGTAAAAAGTTTAACCCTTTACACCCTAACATAGGTATCTATATTCTCCATACTTTTTTTACACGTTTCCTTCAGTGCTGACAAAGAGAATTTGTTCAATAGTCAAAGCTCCTTAGGTTGAGAATCATTTTGTCTATTCTCATAACCTCAGTGAATGCTTCTGCAGTATAGCTGTAAGGAGAAATCAAATACTGGTCATTCTCAGGTAATAAAGGTTAAGATTGGCATGAAAGCAACTCAGTTAGAGCAATCAATAGATGTTACTGTACAACTATGTAAATAAATGAGTTGAAAATGAAAATTTCTATCATCACCTTTCCAACTGTGGCAGTCAAGTCTAAATCATGGACAGGAATTTCATCTGGTGTTTTGATTTCGGTTCCTTCTTTGGCTGCTTCCTCCACTTCTGACTCCTCAACCACTAGTAAGAAAATATGTACTCAATTAATTTAAATCTATCCTATTTCTGGTCGACATTCATTGCAGAGCGTGGTTAAGACATTTCATCCTACAGTTGCGAAAATCATGACACAATTGGGAATAATAGAATAAACCAACTGTGCAACAATATTACTTCAATTAACACTTATAAAGATCTTGCTGTGAAATCTGATTTGTGTTTTAACTTTTTAACTCCCATGAGTGACCAAGACAGAATTTCCCCTTATAATATCAATACAATATCAAGTATGCAAGTGATGAGAATAAAGAAGAAAAGAAAAATGTCAACCAAGGGATCATTAGTTGATCCGATACCAAATTCTCTAAACTAACCTCACAAGAACTGTATGGCAGATAGTAAGGAGAATTACTAATGAGATCTTGGGAGTTAAAGGGTTGGGAAATGTTCAACATTTACCTCTGATATTGAGTATTAAGTCCCTCATTTTGCACATAGAGAAAAGGCAGGGAAAACAAAAAGAGCAATGAAAGCAAAAAATAGCCTCTGATGTCATTAAAACAGATATAATTTCACCAACCTACAGTGTCCAGCTTAGTGAGTTTGGGTAAATTCTTTAGAACTGTCATTCGGTAATGTTCCACATTAGCACAAGGATTGTCCGAAAGCCACAGCACTCTTAGCTTAGGAAGGTTCTTCAGACAACCTATCTCACTGATATCTTCAATGTTATTCTTCCTCAAATATAGTTCTCTTAATCTTGGACCTTCATAAAACAAAATCAGAACAAAAGCAAACAATGTACTTCACTGGAAATTTATCAAAGTTATCGGTCAATGATTAACCCTTCAACTCCCAGAAGTGATTAAAATGTAACTTCTCTCAACACTATCCAAAAATTATACTAGAACTTATCAGGTACAAGTTGTTATCTAGATCTTACACCAAATTTTTACGATATATTTACAAGGAAAAGGAAAGGAGGAAAAAAGGAAAAAAAGCTAAAGGGGAGAATTAACAACCAGATCGTGGGAGTTAAAGGGTTAAGGATGGGAGTGTGGGTGGAGAGAAACTTTATATTCAGTAGTCAAGTATGTGTGATGTACTAAACGACTCTCTTGAGAAACATTGTTGGAAAAAAATGTAAAGGTGCATGCCTCATTCCAAAAGGTAATGTGGGTAGCTTTCAGGTGACTGTCCTTGCCCTCAGTATTTCAGGGAAATCTAAGAAACATCATGGTAAGGATAAGCCACCCAGGGGGTTTGATTAATTTGATTAGCAGATACCCAGGTTATCTTTTGAGATTGTGTGTGGAAAGAAGGCTGGCATGGCTGGGCATCTGACATTTGGGATGGTATTTGGACGCCCCTGAGTATCCTAGATAAAAAGGTGAAGTCTGTACTTGAGCCTAAAAGTGCATGGAGCCAGAACTTATCCTGCTTCATCAGGCTTCTTAAACCCAGACCTCTTGACTAACAGTCCAGCCCAGCAACTATTAGCCTAGTAGTTCAAAGGTTGCATAATACTATCCAATGGATAAATTGCTATCCAGCAGATGAATTTAACAAAACACACTACACTATCCACTGGATACAGATTTTCTCAGTAGATAGCATTATCCTCCCTTTGAACAATAATTGGGCTACCACGTCACTCATGGGTACCCCAGGTAAGCTTGTTCTATTTGCATAGTGAAAAGATTACAGATGCTTCAATTAAGGGGACACCATCCATCAAGAAACACAAGCATTTGTGACTCCTGAAATAAATATTCCCACAATCTTTACATCTGTTGCTATCCTTGGAAAAAAACTATGTTTTAGGCTGCACTTTTCCCAAATCCTCACCTTAATTACACCTTCTTGCAGGAAAAAAAAATTAACTAAACCTCATTATCAATTTTGTGAATTGTTAGAGAATCCATACATGAATAATTTCTATCAAACCAGAATCAACAATACTTACAATGTGCAAAGTCTTCCAGGCTTGATATGTTGTTAACACTAAAAAAAAAAAGTACACTTGAAATCTAAAATTTCAAATGATCAAAGAGATAGACCAGGCTAAGGAAAGTCAATCCAGCGACAAAGACCTTTGGTTGACAATTTAAATGACTGTGCATAAAAGCATTTACTTCCCAACACAAACCTTAAACTTAACACTTCAACATTTGGCATTTGGCGTAAAACAGAAATCTGGAAGAGAAAAACAATGAAATTGTGTGTAAATAAGATTGAGACCAATAAAAATCTTATCCTTGTTGAAATACAAAGGAATTTTATATAATTATATAAAAAAAATCATTGGGTTTTAATTACAGACATCTTCAATTATGTTCAGAATTTAAAACAAGGCAAGCAATCGTACTGTACTTACATCGCTCAGATCACTTCCCCTACAAGGAGAGAAAATATATATACGTGAAACTATGACAACAAAAATAGAGCGTCATTTTCCTTCGATCTCGTTCTACGATAAGGTGAAAAAAGTGTCGCTCGCTCACCAAAAATTAAGATTCTTCACATTTTCAAGAGAGGAGGCTCTGGCTCTTGACAAGATTTGCTGTTCTGTTAACCTAGACATGTTGTAATTGGCTACTGATGTCGTTTGTTTTTCCTAATTTGACTCCCGTTCTGCAAGCTTTCCGCCATTTTCTGCAAGGTTTAGAAAGCACTCCGCTGACCTTCGATCTCTCGTCGGAGATCTGTCGGAATTTTAGAAGCTTTACGAGAGCTCTCGGTAGAATTCCGGAAATCACGAAGAAAAACGAATTTCCACGACTCCTACTGTATTGACATGTAACCTGGCCAAGGTTTCGTTAACGCTGTTTTGGGATGAAAATTGCAAATTGGATTCAGCCATGTGATAGCCGTTGAACTTGATACACTCGCAAAATGTAGCATCGTCCAGGGACGTTTTGCTAACTTAGGCTCCTGGCTGAGGAAAATTTCTCAAGAAAAATATTTAACCTAGGAAACTTTGCACTAACTTTGCCCTGCGGAAATGGCGTGCCTCGGCGCTCTGATTTTATAGACACCTTCAGATCTAGACTTGAAGTTATGAGCGGGCTACTGGAAACTGGAAGTTCACCATCGGAAGTGGAAAGCTTAGACCTGGATGAAGTGAGTTTTTTAAAATGTCGTTCCACAGATTAATATTACCCTAAAATACATCTCACGTTTAATTCGACCAATAGCTATACATGTATCTAAAACTTCACCAACACTATCAATATTACTCAAAATTACCCGCTCTTACTCCTGTTAACTAAAGCTCAACCACTATTATCAAGCTTGTCTTGTTTGAAAAAACTCCTTGATTACAATATTATGCAAGTGTTATCAGATATTTTTTTCCATTTAATCAAGACGTGGTGAGACTGCAAAATCAATTAGCTTTTGACAGTTTGATTATCTGTCTGGGCCCATTTGATTAAATGGTAGACAAGGCTATCCAAAGGATAAATCACTTTCTGACAGAGAAGTGATAGAAAAACATGCTATGCTATCCGTGGGTAGGGTTATCCAATCTTGGAACAAGTCTGGGGCTTGGTATAAACAATAAATCATTCCATATTTTTGTAAGGGGGTTTATGTGGTTACTGGTTCCAAAGCCAGACATCAAGACCTCAGAGCACTATTACTGCTCCATCCTTTTGATGTATTAAAACTCCCTCTTTCTCTTTGGGTGTCAAATTTTCAAACTTTCTTATGTCGTGTATAATGCAAGAGTTTCATGAAAATCCAGTTGCTGGTGGTCTACTACTGACTATTTAGCCTGTAAGCAGGCTCACTTGTTTGGGTTTTGCCTTAGGGTACTGGCACCTACCTCACCACTGGAAAAAAGTTATTGAAACCCATGTAATGAAATGCTTGGTGAGTTGGATGTTTTAAATGAACTTTTTTTCTCCTTTTATTTTTCATAGGATTCCAGCTTGGAGTCTGGTATTGTGAATGAGCTGATTGATGAGGCCATTGTCGGTGTTTGTTTAGACATTCATCGTTCTGTTAAACAAGGAGTGTACAGTGTCCTTGAGCAATCAGATGAAAAAATGTTAGTGTCATCTACTTTTACCCTTGCATATTTTGTTGTATACCGCTCACTTGTAATTTTAAGACAGTTAGTAGTTGAGGAGAGGTGCAAGGGCAGGATAGTCAGTGACTTTGAGTTAAGATGTTGGAGTGGTAGACCTTGCTGGGTCATTGTGTTGTGTTGTTGGGCAAAATGCTGTACTCTCAGAGTGCCTCTCTCCAACCAGGATTATGAATGGGTGGCGGCAATTTTTCAGGGAAGCCTGATAAAATGCTGGGGGATAACCTTGCAATGGACTAGCATCCCATCCAGGGGAGAGTAGTAATACTCCTAGTCACTTTATCCAACATGGAATCTGGGATAAGCTGTGGCTGGGTGGGCCAATAGGCTTGAGTACAGACTTCACCTTTACTTCAAGGTGTAATGTAATTAAAATCATAACAATTGGTTTCTGAAACAGACAAGCAACAACAAACAAATTAACTCTCAAGATGATATGCTTAATAACTAGATTTTGGCTGAACAAGATGATTGAAGAC